CTGCTATATGAAGAAGAATAAGCTAACCAGTCTCGGCACATGTGGAGCTTTTGTTGTGGGAAGGTGAGGTTATGGTATAAGATGATGTTTAGGTTTATTTAGCAGGTGGCCAAACATTATAGAAAGTTTCTGAGCAGGCTGTGACATGACTCATTAGTTTTAGAAAGGAGCTTCTGGTTGAAAGAAATTAGATGGATTAGAGACAAATTGTGATCAAGAGAGATGAGATGAAGGTCCAAATCAGAGAAATGGGAGCAGGAATAGAACAGTGAATGAATACAAGAAACAATAGAGAGCCACTGAAGAATTGCCATAGTATGTTACCAGATAATGGGTTTCCACATGAGGCATTAAGTTACTGTCAGTGAAGGAAATAGACAAGAGTCTGCTCTGCTTTTCCTAGGGGAAAAGAAAGACAATAAGCAAGCTGATAACTCAGCAAGCCCATTTCAAATAGAGAGGAGATCTTAGTGCTACAAAATTATTCAAGAAATAGAAGGAAGGCCTGCATGCTGGGAGAGATGTACACAAAGGAAAAGTGTTAAGAGATGAGGATGGGAGTTTTAACAGGTGCCTGAACATTTGGACCCTATTAAAAGAAAACACCCAGATTCTCAGTTTGTGTCATGGCAAACTATAACTGCACATAGAAATTTTTTAAATTATGGAAATAGGTATTTTAATGTCAACATGGAGAATACCTTTAAAAACAAATAAATATAGAAGCACTCCAAACATTAAGAGAAAGAAGACAGTAATCTTCTGAATAGTGGTGAGTGCGCTTAAAAAAATCCAGAAGAATAAATCGGCAAAAGTCAAGTTTAAAAAGAGAGAGAGAAGAAATGACAAATTGTTGGCAAAGATGTGATGAAAAGGAAACCCTTGTGCACTGTTAGTGGGAATGTAGACTGAGGCTGTCCCAAGGGAAAATAGTATAGAGGTTGCTTAAAAAATTAAAACTAGATCTACCATATGCTCTAGCAATTCCACTTCCAGGTACTTATCCAAAGGAAACAAAAACATTAGCACAAAAAGACACATGCAGTCCAGGGTTCATTGATGCTTTATATGTTAAAAAAAAAAAAAAAAAAGGAAGGAGATGTGGTCAAGGGATGTGTTGTAGGATGAGAATAAACAAGAGCTTTGCATATAATAAATAGCAATCTCTGGGAAGTTGCTTACAGCTACTAGAGACCAGCATGGAAGGGACAGCTTAAGGACCCACAATTATTCCCTCCTTTGAAAAACTCCATTATGTTCTTACCCTCAGTCTTGGGCCATTATGTTTGCACATGCCCAATGTGATCAATCAGATTCACTTTTCAAGATATTGTGAAGACAAAGAAGAGAAAGGCAGGTCTGTGTGTTTAGCAAGTCCTTAAGTGCAACGAGTAAACTTCTATCTCAAGAGAGTCTTTTTTTTTACTTGTTATGCACAATTGATTTTTTATGTTTGCATTCAAAAGAACTCTAATACATAATACATATGTAACTTCTTAAGAAAATATGTAAACCTATATTTGTTGAACACATACTATAATCATAATATTTACCCTACAGTCTCTAACTCCATCTTCACAAAAATACGTATTTTTTTTTTTTGTTATAGAGAAGAAAACAATGGTTAATAATTTGTCCCAGGTCAAAAAAATAGAAACTGATAACTCAGGAATTCAACTGTATGTCCTTATGTCCAAATGCCACTTTCTTTTCTCTGGGTGTCTCTAATGTCATAAGGAATAAATATAATAGTAACAATAGTAATAACAATAACTAAAACATAAGATATTTGCCATGTGCTGCACACTATTCAAATGGTTTACAAATTAAAAATAACCTATAAGATATGTACTCTGGGGCCTCCCTAGTGGAACAAGGGGTTAAGATACAACCTATGAGGCTATATTCACAGCCTCTGCAGCACAGGTTCAATGCCTGGTCAGGGATCTACCCACCCGGTGCAGCAGACCTCTCCTGCCTCACCCGCTGCTCCCCTCAGCAGTGTACATCAGTCAATCTGCCTGTTCTATTCCCTACTCTGTCTCTGTTGAATCCTCACCCCACACACCTCTGGCCTGTACCCCAGTTCTTATATGCATAAATAAGTAAATCTTTAAAAATAAAAAAGATATGGGGCCTCCCTGGTGGCACAGGAGGTTAAGTGCAGGACTGTGAAGCTGTCCAAAGCCTCTGCACTGCCGGTTCAATCCCCGCTAGCCTTGGAGCAACCCACATGGCCCGGCAGACCTCTCCTGTCTTGCCCACTGCTCCCCTCAGCAGTGTATTTTGGTCATTCTGCCGTTCTGATCCCTGCTCTGGTTCTTCTATAAATAAAATAAATCTTAAAAAAAATTTTTTTAAAAAAGATATGTACTCTGTTATCTCTGTTTTACAGATGAAGCAACAGGCACAAAGAGGATAAGTAACATGACCAAATACACAAAAAGTAAACCACCCTCTATACAGGGTTTCTGCTTTGTTCTATTTCTCAAGACAGGTATGGGAAATATTTCTTATAAATTTAACATATAATTGACTCAATGGCATAGACCACTGAATGTATAGGTCTTTTAAAAATATTTACCCAGGGCCTCCCCAGTGGCTCAGCAGATTGAGCGCAGTGCTGTAAAGCTGTCTGTAGCCTCTGCAGCACGAGTTTGATCCCCTGGGCGTCCAGGGAGAAACCCACATGGCACGGCAGACCTCTCCTGCCTTGCCTGCTGCTCCCTTCAGCAGTGTCTTCAGTCTGTCTGCCTGTTCTGCTTCCTGCTCTGTCTCTGGTGAATTCTCTCACCTTCCCACGCCTTCGACTGTACCCAGTTCTTGTATAAATAAACAAATCTTTAAAAAAAATTAAAAAATAAAAATATTTACGTAGTCTTGCAATGGAAGACAAATTGAATGGGTCTTAAGAAAAAAACCTCATGAACTTCTTCCTTAATCAGGTGAAAAAGAAGCTTCCCACTTTTTATTTACTCCCAAATCGTGTGAGATTCAGTCAGATTGGAACTTCAGGTCCTTGAGAATAAAAAATTTTCAAAATGGACCTCCCTGCTGGTGCAAGGGGTTAAGTCTCAGCACTATGAAGCTATTCACAGCCACTGCAGAACAAATTCCATGCCCAGCCAGGGAGCTGACCCACATGGTGCAGCAGATGTGTCCTGTGTCTCCTACTGTTCCCCTCAGCAGTTAATCTGCCTCTTCTGCTCCCCACTCTGTCTCTGGTGAATCCCCTCATCCCCCACACCTTTGGTCTGTGCCCGAGGTCTTGTATGAATAAATAAACATTTTTTTAAAAATTTTCAGAATGGGGTATCTATCTTGCATTCTGAGTTATAAAACATTAAAACTTAATCTACCTCAAGAATTGTATAGGTCTACTGCAGACAATTAAATGGTGACAAATTTATCTTGTCCAGTGTATTCTTTATATATTATATTTTCCCTTTCCTCTCTACCCTTAAATTTTTACTCTCTATACTTCAGATGTGAAATCCTAGACTCCATGTTGTTGACAGGAATTCATGGAGCCCGGGAGTACCTGAATGAGCCTCGAAGGGTAATTGAGCCCCATGAAATAGCTATGTCCATGTGTGTTTTGTTTCACAGACTCTCAGAGGAGTTTTTAATGCATATATTAAGAATTACTCTCTTAAGGAGACACAGTACTTTGAAATATCAGACTACAACTGCCTGAGACATATGGACAGTCCACCCATTCTTTTCTAACATGTCCTATACAAGCCACTGCCTATATTCTAATTTATCTAGAATGGACTATTCTAGAATTGGAAGAAATACCAAGGCTCCTTGATCATCAGCTTTCCTTAAAAGAACTTTGGGGACAACAAAAGGACACGCTTTGTAAGTAGAGAAACCAAAAACCATATTTGGTATATAGTAAAGTTCAATTGACATAACAAAGAGTATCAAGAAGAAAAGAGAAATCCACTGTTAAAGACAGTTTTATTCTTGTCATATGAAACAGATCTATTGTGATGAATGAGATCTATGGGACAGCTCTGCTTCTCCTTATCAATCCCCTCACCCCCACCCCGCCCTGCCTTTGTTTTGCGTTCCCCTAGGGCCTGACATTCTTCGCTTGAGGAAACAAAGTCAATACTTTTATAACTGATGGGAAGAAAGGTATCTAAAGCCCATACTGGAGTGACTTTTCACACGTGTGGGAATGCTCTTAAGCACATCAACTCCTCTACTGCCAGAAAGCCAGGCGATGGAGAACGCCTACTGGGAAGCCACCTGCTCAGCCAGACCTTTGTTAGGAAACACATTTTACTAGGAAAATGCCAGTATACACAATAACCCGATTCTTCACAAAATAAAATCTATTGTAAGGACACTAAGCAGCATGCCGATTGGCCTGCGAGATTACTGGTAGTTTACACTGGGTTAAACAAAAAATGGGGACCTTGGTTACAAATTGCTTGTTTGGCCACATTTCTTTGTGTAAAAAACAATATAACCCAGAAGATCTGGGTTAAACAGGCCCAGCCCAGCACTTTTTTCAAGATACATGCCCTGCAATCATTCTTAGGTTTGTAATCAGCTGTTGAAGGGAAGTCTTGGAACTTCCGAAACAGGACCATCTCTTAAAATTTAAACAGGGAACCTTAGGAGCTGTTTTTTTCCTGATAGCACTTATGCAACAACCATACTTTCACAACTGTCTTTAAAGCACCACCCCCAACCACCATGCCTCCACCCCGCTAGTCCCGGAAGGAATTGCTGTAGCTTCCAGCTCAGTGTTACCACCAGGTGTGGGTTTACATTGCAGCATTTTACCTGTTGACATTTTCACAATGGCCGGCTTGAATGACACACTCGTGGAAAAGTCAGCCTCCTCCCTGTTGATCACGCTATGTGACCTACTTAGCCAGTGTAGAACTTCCTAACTGGAAAATACTCACCACCACCACTCCCTCCCCAACACCCCGTAACCGACAAACATGAAATCTCAGCGACAAACTCTTTCAGGTGAAAAGATGGGTGGCCCTGAAAAGGGCCGTTGGTTTTGCTGTAGCAAGCGCGTCAGCAGATTGAAATTTAGCCGCCAAAGCCGTAGAGGGTGCGGCCCTGGCGCTTGAGCGCGTAGACCACGTCCATGGCCGTGACCGTCTTGCGCTTGGCGTGCTCGGTGTAGGTGACGGCGTCGCGGATCACGTTCTCCAGGAAGACCTTGAGCACCCCGCGGGTCTCCTCGTAGATGAGCCCCGAGATGCGCTTGACGCCGCCGCGCCGGGCCAGGCGGCGGATGGCGGGCTTGGTGATGCCCTGGATGTTGTCGCGCAGCACCTTGCGGTGGCGCTTGGCGCCGCCCTTGCCGAGCCCCTTCCCACCTTTGCCACGACCAGACATGGTGAGCAAATTGAACCTAAACCTCAAATGTGCTTTCAGCAGCGCCACTCCAGGCTTTTATAATAAGGTGACGGACCTAGTTGAGAACCGCGAGAACAGGGGCGGTAACCAGTGTCTGCTCCCGCCCCCTGTTATTCAGCGCAGAGCAGTACAGAGTAGGCGGGGCGTTTCAAGCAACAATGGATACTGGAGGTGAAATTTACTAAATAGGCCTATGTAGGGAAATGTGTATCTGTGTTTTGTACTCTAAGTGCAACCATCGAGTGGGTCAACGATCATGCAGCTTGCACAAAGGAAGCCTGACATTTGCCCTTTAGATTTCCCGAAATAAGAAATAATCAATACACATATGTCCCTTATAAGAATACCTAAATGTTGTTTTAAGCAATCCTGTTTTTATTGCTTAAGTTTCTGTTAGTTTTATTGATTTATGGATCACTGTTTAGCAAAGTAGGACTCTGGTGTGGAGGGTGGATAAACCCTATCAAGATAACTAAAAGCAGGGGCCTCCCTGGTGTTGCAGGGGCTTAGCAATGCACTGTGGAGAGGTCCCCAGCCTCTGCAGCACAGGTTAGATCCCTGGCCTGCCAGGGGGCACCCCACATGGAGAAAAGGGCCTCTCCTGTCTCGCCTGCTGTTCCCATCAGCAGTGTATTTGGGTTGGCCTGCCTGTTCTGCTCCCTACTCTGTCTCTCGTGAGTCCTCTCACCCCCTGCATCTCTGGCCTGTACCCCAGCTCTTGTATGCATAAATAAATAAATCTTTAAAAAATAATAATAAGGTTAAAGGGGAAAAAAGATAACTAAAAGCATAAGAAAAGTTACGTTTAGAGGTCAAGTCGATTAAAAATCACAGACAAACACTATTGAAGATTTATAAATATATCCCAAAATGATGAGAACCTTGTTCTATTGAGAGTCTAAAGTTTGTTTTGATTAGACTACTTATTCACAGGTAGTATCTAGCTCTGCATTTCTCAACACTAGTCTCCATCAATTAGCATTATAACATCCAGCCAAGCTCTGGAGATAGCCTTCTCCACTTAACAACTGTGTCACCATGCCTCTGTTATCAGTGCAGGCTACCAACAGGATAATTGGAGGACTTGTGCTATATTCCTGTGATATTGCAGTTGACACTGCCAATCTCAACATATCACTTAAACAAATCAGTCTAAATGATGTCAATAATCGGTTACAAGGGTAATACAGTTAATGTTTGAATAAAGAAGCACATGTTATAACTTTACCAGCCCAAATTTTGATAAATTTGATAACAGCATTTTAATAAAATTGCCTCCCTTTGTAATTGTAAGAGTGAAATCCCCCACTACTCTAGGTTCTTCTCAAGTTGAAGGGGAGGGGGGAGAATTAATATTAGACAGTTCAGTAGGAGAAAAACACCAAATTTAAAAACATGTACGGAGAATTTACGTGGCTAAAATTTCCAGACTAAATCAGACAAACAGAGTTTGCATTCTGAATTAAGGATGGTATAGGGAATCTGTGCAATAGGAGAGTGGAAGGGGTCTCTCAAGAAGAGGAGAGGGTGACACCAAAATAAAATCTGAATCCCCAGATATTTGCCCTGCCTTAAAATTGGTTTACCTGATAAAAAATACTATTCCTGGAAATGACCTTAAATCTGAGTAATCTTCACTCTTTAAGGTAATTTTAACCAGAAGGGTCATTTTGTTGATAGAATTGTTTTATTTCTCCAACATGTAAAATGTTGCAAAAATGCCCTACATTTTACACTGCTTTAACATATATCATAGGAATATGGTTGCTGAAACATAAATTTAAGACTATATTAGTGTGTTGAGAGTTAAAACTCTCTAAGGAGAGGAAGAATTGGGTCATGAAGAAGTCAGTGGATTCTGGAATTTTCTACTTATTTCATAATAGCTATACATCTTCCATGGAGTTTAAGTTCCCCACCAGTTAGTATGACCCTCATTCCATTTAAAATCATTAACAAGTGTTAAGCACTAGAGAAGCAGTACCATGAAGGTGCTGTGAGAAGAAACAAGCACTTGGAAGTATCCATATTCTCAGAATAAAGCAGTGGGATGGGATTCACAATACTCTTCATTTCTGGATCCATACAGACTGCCTATATGTATTTACACAACTTACTTTATATAAGTGACTATTCCGTATGTATAAGATTAACTATACTTTTCATTGTTTAAAGCTTACTGAGAAAATATAAGTGAACAAATATTGATATACTAGGAAATGGTTTAGATTAGAAGAGTCAATAAAGAAATTTATGTTGTTTAAAGGATTGGGAATGACAGATAAAGACATTTCCAGATGTCATATTCATCTGATGTATTCCTTGACTTTAAAGTCGGGTAAGGAGAGGGAGGGGGAGAAAAATCTGAAACAGCATACTGTGAAAAGTTAGATGATTTAATCAAAATCATGCAGCTAGTATGTTGTAGAAATAAATTCTAGCCTTTTACCCAGCAGAGGAAGAACAAGAGGTACTTCAGGAATGGTGAGGTCAGGAGAAGCTTTATTACTCATGCATGAGGTCCCAGACCTGGGTAGTCCCATAAGGTCTGAGCACCGGTTTAAAGACCAAGGGTTCCTTTTATACACAACTGTGTCCATATCTGTTACATAGATAGCATCGTTTTTTTCAGCAGGCACAACCATTTGTGGCAAAGTCCCCAGGGAAGGGGGGCAAGCCAAGGGGAGGAAAGATGCAGGCATTTGGGAATGGCCTTGGAGAGACAGACCAGCTGGTTGTCTGCCCGACCTTGTAGATAAGAGTGCTGAGGCCCTGGCCATGAATCTTGGAAGGCGAGGAGCTGTAAGTAAGCAAACTTGTTAATTATGCCTGTGATGTAGTTTTGCAGAGTGTAGGGTCCTTGGGTTCACTCTGGGAAAGGTGTCAACAGAGCTCCCGTTTCAGCAGAGAGTTTCCCAGGTGGGTTTCTCTATGAGACAGAGATGTTAGCTATATTTAAAGAGCAGGCTTATTAGGGAAAGGGAAAGGGACAAGTTTGCTGAGAGAGGCCTGCATGGTTGCAGGCGGGTGGTCTTGAGGAGAGCGGCCTCCGCTGAGGGAGGTCAGTGAAGAGAAGTCCCTACATGGGACAGGTCATGGGCATCCAGAAAGCCACTGCCCTGCAGAGGGAGAGAGTTGGTGGAAAGAGAAATCTGCATAGTCACCGGTAGGCAGTGGGAGTACTGCCCGGAGCCTGTGCAGAGACTGCACTGATACAGTCCTTTTCTCTTTGGGAGGGGTCACTCCTCCGTGGAGCGGTCTGCTTGTTGCTGATGTTGGGTAACAGGCAAAACTAGAAAGGGACCAGAGATTCCAGGGTGGGCCCAGTCTCCATATCTTTCCTCTAAGGCCTGTGCTCCACACCCTATAGCATCTGATCCTGCTTAGGTCTCCTGCCTTGTGATAAGGCACTGGTGTCTAAAGGTCCAACCTCCACAGCTGGGTTGTCATGTTATTCCCCTCGACCCCCACCTCCTTGTGTGAGTCAGGTTTTAGTCCTGGGAGGCCTCCTTTCCAGTTTTTCTATTCTCGTCCTCCATCATTCCCACTGACCATATCCGGCCCAAAATCTTTTGGGGAATTGAAGGGAAGAGGTCCATTTTCTGTAGCTGCTTCCTGCGGAGTAGGACATAGAGCTGGCCCTACCTACAGGGGCCTTGGATATGGTCTCCCTAACACTAGTCCCTGAGCTATCTATTGTTGCTGGTTCTGGAAGGAGGCAAGGGGTGGGACATCTGGAGTCCAAGGGGCAAGGCATATGGACAGTCTGTTCCTCTTGTATGGGTCAGCTGTTTTTGCTTGAACGAGGAGTTTAAACTTGAAGAGCTCCTTCTAGGTTCGAAGAAACAAATTTGATTAGGAGATTTTGTATGTTAAGGTTTTAAGAGGAGAGTGAGAAGTATCACAGTGGCTAAGGGCCCTCAGTAACATGTACAGTCATTTGGGGCTAGCCATTGAGTATTAGGTTTATTAATAAGATGAGCAGCAGTAAAATAGCTAGCAAGTTCTGGGCTTGTGACAAAGGGAATAAATTTTAGCAGGGAAACAACCCATTTTTAGAGTGTTGTTAGACTAGAAAGATTGTCAGTGAGATAATTGCTCCTAGCAGAGGAGCTGTTTTAAATCCCATGTGTCCCTTGTTAGGGCAACACCCACCAGAGGAGCCCTGAGGTGCTGGAGTAAGGTATATAGCCTCGGACTCAGAGGGAGGGTTGGTTTGCTGTGTGTGTAGAGTAGCAAGCCCAGTGAAAACTACTAGGTTTTTAGTTTTGTTAGGGACACTGTTGTGAGCATGATCACTGTGAGGCTAGTCAGAATCTTAGGAAAGTTGGGTGAGCTTTAAAGTTAAGTTAGTGAGGACCACAGTCCATCTTTCTAAATGTTAAGATTTTACCCGAGTATGATGACTTCATGGTTTTATATCTTCTGATTTTGAGGCAGAGTGGTATTAGAAAGACGGTGTCAGACCATTTTCAGACTCCAGGATGAGGACAATTCCAAGTGTTCAGGAGCACCAGTCATGAAAAGGGGAGTCTGTAGGAGACAGTTTTTAAAGATATTAAAAGCCACTTTTAAAAGCTGGTGTAGCTGACTTTGGGGTCTAAGGTTAGTTTTGGGGTTTTTTTTTTGCCATTATCTGCGCAGGCTGACTAATAATCTCCTCGCCCTGTCTTGTATTAGGATCAAGGTTTGTGAACTTGCAAATGGTTATTACTAATAGCCCTGGATTTTGTCTCTGCAGCCTGCACCTGCTGTCAGAAGAAGACTGGCTAATGAAGGAGACTGCTAAAATGCTTGTGCTTTTCTGGGTCTAGATTAGCATACCTTTTCATAGCCTCAGCAAATCCGGTCTGAAATAATGTTGCATTTTTTGGCTTTTGAGTAACTTTTCAGCCCTTTTATAATTGACTGGCTTATTAGGTTTTAATATTCTGACACAGCCTTCCTTCCCAGCCAGAGAAAAGAGAATGGCAGGGGCAGATAGCAAGTCCAGACCTGGGGACGCTCAGGTCTAGGG